AAATCCCAAGTACATGAAGCATGAAAAACAAAGCATCTAAAGAATAGATGGACTCAATCTGAAAAGAAAACATTAATTATGGGGCATGCCCAACCAACAAGTTGTTTTAAAAATGAGAAATACGATTTTCAAAGTTTCTCATTTAATCCCTTTAGAAAATAAAATTTTTGAAAAGTAAGAAGTTTCTTGCCTAGTAAATTATTTCCCACGAATTTGTAAAACCTCCGGGTCATTTGTAAAGCCTCCAGGTCATTTGTAAAACCTTCGGGTAATTTGTAAAATCTTCGGGTAATTTGTAAGTCCTTCGGGTCATCTGTTAGTCTTTCAAGCTAGAAGATAAATTCTTAGGGCCATTCATAAAAACCTTCATGGAAGAGTAGTGGAAACAATTCCAACTTGAATATGATCTTCACGGAAGAGTAGTGAAGTCATTCAAATTCAACCTCCACGGAAGAGTAGTGGAAACAATTCCAACTTGAATCTGATCTTCACGGAAGAGTAGTGAAGTCATTCGAATTCAACCTCCACGGAAAAGTAGTGGAAACAATTCCAACTTGAATCTGATCTTCACGGAAGAGTAGTGAAGTCATTCAAATTCAACCTCCATGGAAGAGTAGTGGAAACAAATCATACTTGAATCTGATCTTCACGGAAGAGTAGTGGAAACAAATCATACTTGAATCTGATCTTCACGGAAGAGTAGTGAAGTCATTCAAATTCAACCTCCACAAAAGAGTAGTGGAAACAAATCAACTTGAATCTGATCTTCACGGAAGAGTAGTGAAACAGATTCTGATCAAGTCATTCAAATTCAACCTCTATAAAAGAGTAGTGGAAATAAATTAACTTGAATCTGATCTTGAAGGAAGAGTAGTGAAACAGAAACAGATTCTGTTCAAGTCATTCAAATTTAACCTTCACGAAAGAGTAGTGAAGTATTACAACCTCGAATCTGATCTTCACGGAAGAGTAGTGAAACATATTCTTCTCAAGTTTATCATCCTCAGCCTTCACAGAAGAGTAGTGAAGTAGGAACAGATCAAAATTCAATATCCATGAAAGAGTAGTGGAACGAATTTCCCAACAAAGCATGAAGTTCACTCGACAAAAACTTCTAGTCTTTTTTTATCTTTGCTTTATTCTTGTTAACACAAAAATAAGCAAAGACGGGCAGATGTTGACATTCGTTTTCGTCCGAGTGACGTATCTATTATATATAATAATATTATTATATGATATATTATTATTATTATTATTTACAAAGCCTAAAGGCCCGAATTACAAGCTCAACTGCAGGCCTGATTACAACCCAACCCGAGCTAGGTACAGACTCAGTTTACAAATGGTTCAGGTCCAACAACACGGTTCAGGCCCAATTCCAGAAGACCCGAGAAGGCCCAAATGTTGCTAGGGTTTCCAACACAACTCCAGTCGCCAGCAGCTCTCAGTCGTCTGATTTAGATGCATATCAAGGGTTCACAGCCATTCAGCAGAAGCCCTAAGGTTTTATTACACCCTAGGGCCTATTTCAGCCACCGCCTTCAGCTGCTCCAACCGAAGGAAGCCACCCTGCCACCGCCTCTCCAGAGCTCTTCCAAAGGATCCAGAAGGTATAGCAGAGCCACACAGCACACTGGTCTATAGTGTGTCACCACCATAGGTCTGGTGACTCACCGGATTTCATCATCATTACGGCCGATCTTTGAGGCCTATAAAACGCGACCCTGTAAGCAACACAAGAGGAGATGCCAAGAAAGGGACAACAACCAAATATAGAGAGAGATACACTATACACATAAAGCAACGAAATAAAAAGAGAGAAGAGGAGCTTACCTAAAGTCATCGGAGCATCCACGAGCCACCGGAGAAGACAAAACGCCGAAGGTAAACAGCCAGATCTACGTCGTTGGGTGGTTTTTTAGGAAAAACTAGGTTCGGATCTAGGTTTAGGAGAAAAGAAGGAAAATTTTGGTATAGTTTGGCATTTCCAGGCCACCATGGGTGGTGGCCGGCGGCGACGATCGGTGTTGAAACACGGCTGCCGACCGGTGACTGATGTCCCTTCGGCGAGGGAATTATAGAGAACTGAGAGGATTCTCTCGTTTAGATAGAGAAAGAAGAAAGGAAAATGGGGAAGCTTGGCCCTCTTTGGGCCGAATTTAGGTATAAATATCCTCTCCCAAACGACGTCGTTTTGAGAGAGGGTCTTCTGGTGTAATTTAGCGGGGGCAAATTACATCCGCAATCCCTCTGGTTTTGTAAGCTTTGCAAGTTAGTCACCGAAATCAGGTTTTATACATTTTAATATAGTTCTTGCATTTTATTTTATTTATATTTTAGTCCCACCCATATGTTTACGTATTTTAGGGTAAAATACCTATTTAGTCACTATAATTTTTAGTAATTTATATTTATATCCCATATTAATATTTATAGGTAAATTACAATATTAATACCTATATTTTATAACATTTCAAAATTAGGATCATTAATTTAGATATGTTATAATTTTTTTCTAAAATATATTAATATTTTAAATAAATATAGGATTAATTACACTATTAGTACTAATATTTTATGTTAGTATTATTAATTTATATATTATGAAATTTTAACCTATTTTATATCATAATAAGATTTTTTTTACTTATAATAAATAATATATTAAGTATAATTTTCATTTGTATGATTTAAATTAAATTAAATTCAAATTTGATTAATTATTGCAAAGACAAATTAATTAATAAACACCGGTACCAATTTTTGGGCGTTGTGGGGGTGTTAATCATTCCTCATACGTAACCGGCTCCCGAACTCATTTTTCTGGTAAGCAGACCCTTTGTTGTATTATTTTAATACTATTCTCAAGAATTTTATTAGAATAATATAACATTTTGGTGATCAATCTCACCAAATTTAAAGATTGGTGGCGACTCTATAATTTAGTGTTTTATATGATCGAGGAAGATAAACACTTACTTTTTCGAGACTAGTTACACTTAGGTGTACTATTTTCACTCTCCGTCGTCGGGCAGAGAAACGTCTAGACAGCAAAGATCAAACTTGAAAAGATTCATCATCAGAAAAAAAACGTAAAAAGCTGAAATTCTCACCCCAAAAACTCTTAAACTCTAAAAAAATAGAAAGCACATCATCGAGCAAGACTCACCTGTCACCAAGGCAAAGATCAAACTGAGAAGGGGACAAACCGACAAAACAAAGATGTTTCGGGAGAAATCTTGAGTCTAATGAGCTTCGTCGCCGGTGAAGAATATGATAAAGTATATGCTCATGTGAAAACCGAAAGGTTAAACTTGAAAGTGAAAATACTTGGATGTGAGACTTGGAGAGAATTGTATTAGAATATTAAATAACTTCTGGAAATTTCTTTTATTTTTATATTTGATTTTTAATTCAAAAAACAATAAATATTTTGGGCCGCCCACCCCTATTTCCCGTTTTTCATTTTTTTTTAATTTTTTAAAATAAATTCTTAATTATTTTGAGGGATATTTTAATTTATCATCTCTCACATCTTTTGGAATTTATAATTTAATTCTTATTTTAGAATGTAAACTATAGTTTTTATTTAATTTAATCCTAAGTTTGTGTTCTTTAAGTTTATACTTTTATTTTAATTCTATTCAATTTAGTCGTATTGTTGCTTTAATTAGTATACATCATAAATCTATGTTCTTAATTTAATGATTGAACATCTTATTTCTTTTAAATAATAATGTATTCACAATGTCATCAACTCGTCATTAATTATCTTAATTTTATCATCGGGTTTTTAAAAAAAGTCTCTTACTTGATTAAATTATATTATATATATATATATATGTCATTTTCGTTTAGAAAACATTATAAACATCATTACAAATAACTCATTATAATTATAATTATTATGTTTTAGTATAAGGTGTGTGAAATTTAAAAAAAATCACGACCGTAACACCCGTAGTGACTGCAATGACATCCTTATGTCCGCAATCACGATAAATATGACGCGACCAAAAACACGGCCACGAACACTATTTAAATCCCTGACCCCGACCGCCCCCAACTGATTGCCTTCTGCTTCGTTTTTACCCTTTTCTTCTATACCTGTAAATATAAAACTAGTTGGGTAAATTTTTTTTTTAAAGTTTCAGACGGATGACAAAGACTAGAGAATATTACATGATCTGCAATCATCTTAGTTTTGGGATATCCTTCTAGTTGCAGGATGCACTTGATTCCAAAGCCTTTGTCGCCTTCCCTGGGCACACTTGCAAGCACAAGAAGGATTGGCAACATAATATTAGAAAAATAAAAAAGAAAAGTTTTAAGCAGTAGTAATTCGTAAGGCAGGACATAATAGAATTGAATTCTTCCCTATCATGATCATTGAGCAGCTAACGTGACTTTTAAAATTGCATGATCTGTTCGTGTTTTCCCCTTCCACAAAAACATAAAGGAAAGAGAATGAAAATGAACAGTAAAGTGGAAGTAGATATACTTGTAGATAGATTTAAGTGTGTGAAAAAGGAATACGAAATAGCCTAGCACTTGAACTTTCCCAGTTTTTCCATTGCCAGAGCCGTTCAAACAACATTTCATGCCCAGGGCCTGACCTTTTCAGAAGTAGGTCCCAACCCAACTTAGCCATCTTATACGACCTGAACTTTACAGAATAAGATCCAAGCCCAACCGAGACCCCTGAAATTACTTTCATAATAGTTAATGTCTTACAGTTTCTACTTTTGTCCTATTTCGTGAAACAACAATTTATAATTTTTTTCAATGTTTTATTTTATAAGAAAAAGAAAACTAGTAGGGTAATTTTTCCCTTTTTTAGTTTGACATTCAACATGAGTAGGATTCTTTGGTAGGAAAACGAAAACATTGTCATGACATTTGTGTCTACATTTCTATCAAATTTTCTTGTACTAAAGCTTTAGTTTTCTGTTACAACAAGCACAAAATTCAGCCTCCTGAATTCTATATCATGCCACGAGAAAACTAAGAGACCTAAATTCCACAGTTCCACTATTAGGCTTCAAAAACTGTATTTCGAGTCTAATGAGTTTCACTGATCATTTGTGAACGATCAGATTATAGTCTAAGAATGCAGTTTACAAAATCATTCAGTCTAAACTGATGCTTGTTATTGCTTCAGTCCTCCGCTTGATCAGTTGTTGCTTCCCTGACAATGGAACTGTTGGCAAATGAAGAATCGGAGTCTTGAGAAGAGTCTGCAATCTCCTCTCTGTACATTTCTTCTATCATAGGCTTCCATAGTCGAACTCGAGCATTTGTAAACCAGTTTGATATCTGAGTCGACAATAAATAACAAACACCCAACATCAACGTTAACATGCATGAATAATCATCAATTGAGCTTATTGCAAATATATATATAGAAGGGATCATACTTGATTCTTGGTCAGGCCTGTCTGTGATGCCAACATTAGCTTCTCTGAGTCTGTGGGATAACTGTTAAGAACCATGCAACAAAATGGTGAGTTACATTGTCTCAACGCAGAAGCGTTTTAACTCAAATCTGTAATTACGGGTGAAGGAAGTGTTCGAAAAGCCAAGACCGAAGGATTGCTACTGAGGTTTCTGGCAATCCTATAATGGGCCTCCAAGCTTGCCTTTGGCTAGTAATAATTCCAAGTTGTTGAAGAGACTGTCGGTTCTGCCTTGAATCTCTATCGAACAAGCTATGTTGCGATAACCCCGCGTTGGTTCTGGGTAAATCATGCAAAAACTTTCTTCTGGTGACATTTATTTGGGATACTATGGCATCCCTTAGATTGCCAAAATGCCTGGACATTGCTTGCAGTGCCAAAGCAGTATACGACTTTTCTGCTCCTAAACCAGCTATGGATTCAAATGATGAAACCACTTCTTCCATTTGCTGGTAGTATTTCTCGTACCTGAGTTCAACCTGAAAACGAAACAATAACGAATTCATGAAATTCGAGTAATTTTTGAGTTAAAACACGACAGAACATCCAACAACGTCATGCAAACGGCTAACCTCCTCCAGTAATCCAATTAGCTTTGCGAGCCCAACTCGGAGCTCGTGTTCAGGCAGCTGTATCTCAATACAGCAGAATTCTGCCTTTAATTCGGAGGAAATTCTTGAACTCTCTCCCCTGGCACCTTTATATAACTTCCTAAAGAAATTTTCATCGACATTTTTGCCACCAATATTGACAACTTCATCAAGAAGGGACTCAGTTGGCTTTAGATACCTGGAATTCTCAATAGCAGTGGCAAAAGATTCTGACCCATATGTAGTCGCAAGAGGTCGGTGCAGTGAGGTGGAAACCGAAGAAAATGTGTTAGCAGTTAAAGAGTAATCATCACCCCTTGCATTTCCTACTCCAGGATTGCAAACTTCTCTATCTTCTGCCTCCGAGAGCAAGTAACTAGAACTTGCAATACCAAAATTTAAGGAAGGACCAAGCATGTGAGAACCCAGAGGCAGTGAGAGCCTTTGAGTTTGGTGGTTGGTCTCGTTAGCTGCTCCAAGAAGGTCCATCAAGTGTCTGGTCTGGCTAATCTCCGATTCCTTTGTTACAATGGGAGCTTGAAGGAGATCCATTGATCTGGACATTCTTTCGCCAAGAGAATGAATGCTGGGCAATAAACCCAGGGACTGAGGAAATGTGTTGTGGTTGCTTCTCAAAGCGGAGCCATAAGCATCAAAATGTTGGCCTCCCAATTGGTTTTTGCTATAAACAGAATCCGAGACGATAAAATGACGTAGCAAGGTGGAAGTTGGATTTGGAGGTGAAGCTCGAGAAACAGAAATGGAAGCCTAGGGTTTTGAAAGTTGCTAAATCGCCTGGTTGATTGGCATTCAAACGCGAGGAGAAGAGCAGTGAGTCGCCGAGTGAACTAAAATTATTGAGCCATACATAAATATACGGAAAGTAAAAGGAAAATGCAAACTAAAGTTCCACGTGAAAAGCATTAAAAGCGGGTCATAATAAGACTCAGCTTCAAACGAGGTGAATATATTCATCAATAGATGACAAACAACATATATAAAAGTTGGCCGGCATTAAACACAGGGTCACCTGAAGTAATGGGTTACAGAGCTGAAATGGAAAAATCTGTACCGACTGAGATCTAAAACGCTACAAGTCATGCGATCAGAAGAATCACTTGCCGTAAGCAAAACAACAGCCAGGGTAGCTACTTAATTTCCTTGAAAAGCAAAGCAGGAGAGAGGGAGGGGGGAAATGCAGTAAAAGCATGGATGGAATGAAGTCAAGGAATTGTATTACTGAAAACTAGACAAAGAGAGAAACTAATGAGCCATTTGTAAGTGATTGAAGACATGTTTGGCATACACTAATTTAAGGAAGTAATAATAAAACCAAAAAGATAATTGATGAGCATAAAATATGGATGTGAAAGCAATCAACAGAGCATCAATCTTGATGTGGAAAACTGCAAATAAATAATACCTCTGCCCATTCCAGTTGCAACAAATGTTAATAATGCTTTAAATAGTCCTGTAAACGAACCGAACGAATACAAATGAGGGTATATTAATGTTCGTTGGTTTAACTTTAACCGAATAAAGGAACGAACACGAACATAAATGAACAAAAATTTCTTCTTCGTGTTCGTTCGTTAAGAAATGTAGTTTGTTCGTGTTCGTTCATTTAAATAATAAATGAACACAAATGAATGAACATAAACGAACGGATGTAAACGAACACAATAAACAAACGTAAACGAACACAAATGAACCAATGTAAACGAACACAATAAATTAACGTAAACGAACATAAATGAAAATATATTTTTTTTTTCCTAACAATTTTAGGATTATATTTTATTTAATTGTTTTTAAGCTTTTTTATTTGTATTTAAAATTAATTTAATTTAAAAATATTTATGGGTATCAAATTAAAATTTATTGGGCTTTAATATTTTAAATGGGTCTAGAGAGATTAGGCTAAATATAAATGAACACGCATAAACGAACATAAACGAAGAACATAAATGAATATAAACGAACGAACATAAAGGAACATAAATGAACGAACATAAACAAATATAAATGAACGAACATATTACAGAACATTCACGAACGTAAATGAACGAACGATCCATCTGTTCATGTTCGTTCATTTAATTAAAAGAACACAAAATATTATTCATGTTCGTTCGTTTACCGTCGAACGGTTCGCTGAACGTTCGGTTCGTTTACAGGCCTAGCTTTAAAGGAAAACGATGACTTTTTTGCCATACTTATCAGGGGGAAGTGAATAGGTTTAATACTAAGCAGCCAAAAGCTATTACACCTATTGTTAGAGTTTGACTCGAATTCAAATTGGCACAAATTAATCAATATATAAATATTGGGAAAGTAACAAACTCAGTTTGGTTAAAAGTAGAAATTTTTTATTAAAGTAGATTTATACTTTATATAATTTTCCTTTGTAATCAAGTATATATCCCTATAAATAGATACTAAGTGTCAGGGTTAGAAATTAAGTTCTTTTCTTTTACCAAAATCCTCTTGTATTTTCTTCCTTCATATTAGTGAAATTCTTTTATTCTGCCCGTGGATTTTCCCTTTTGGGTTTTCCATGTAAATACATGTGTTCTTTGTTTTTCCTTTTCGATCGTGTTTATTTGTTTGTCGATAATCATCGTTCCGATATAACAAACTGATATCAGAGCTCCGAGTTCAAGATTATGGCAACAATGAAGTATGATATTCCACTATTAGATCGAAACACCAGGTTCTCGCTATGGAAGGTGAAGATTTGGGATGTTCTTACACAGTTAAATCTCGACGATGTAATAGAAAGATTTGATGAGAAGTCGATAACACAATGAACGAATGAGGAAAAGTGTAAGGATCGTAAAGCTCTTTCTCATGTTCGTTTACACATATCAAATCAAATTTTACAAGATGTGTTGAAGGAAAAAACAGTTGCATCTTTGTGGGCGAAATTGGAGCAACTTTGTATGCAGAAATCATTGACCAACAAGTTACACCTGAAGCAGCGTCTTTATTCGCTCAAGTTGGCAGAAGGTTCGTCTCTTGAAGAGCACCTGATCATATTCAAGGAAACCATCTCTGATCTAGACTTTAGAAGTGAAGTATGATCAAGAAGACTTATGTTAAGATTGATGAAGATCAATTTGAACAACTGAAAAATGTACAAGGGGTGAATTGGCAATTATTTTTTAGGGAGTAAGGAGAAAGAAAAAATAGAAAAATTGACACAATGATTTATAGTGGTTCGACTTCTCAACTAAGTCTACCTCCACTACCTTAGCTGATCACTAAGGATTTTCCAACAAATCCATTAATTTGTTCTTTCTTTTTCAAGGACAAAGAGATAACCTTTCCAAAAACTCCCTAGCTTTTCAAAGACTTAGCTAGAACCAAAACCCCTTTACAAGGAAAAAGATGTAAACAAATAAAACATCTAAAAAGGAAGGTGTTTACAAATTAAAGCTTACAAGAACAAAATATTTACAAGAGAATAGGAATAAAGAGTGAAAAGCTCGTCTCTTGTGTTTGATTGCTTAGATAGGTGTTCTAACCCTTTTTCAAGTGTCTTGAACTTGTATTTATATATTAGAATGAGTTTGTGGTCATTTCTAGCTGTTGGGGATGATTTCTAGCCATTTGGAGATGTTTTCTCTGCAAAAATAAACTGCCTAGTACAGAGGGTATCGCTACTCCTATATGGAGTATCGGTACTACCTTTGTAATATTTAAATAAAAATAGTCGTTGGGCCTGACGATATCGATACTAAGCCTATGGTATCGATACTACTATGTAAAGTAGTATCGGTATCCCTTTGGGTATCGGTACCATTTTTCATTATGGAATTTGAACAATGTTGGTAGTATCATTACTACCTAGAGAGTATCGATACTTCTCTTACCTAGGGTATCAGTACCATATGAACAGTATCGATAATGTTCATATAGTATCGATAATGTTCATATAGTATTGATACTGTAAGAACAGTAAAGGTACTAAGTACGTTGAAAATCAGTATTGTGCTCAAATTCATTTTTAATGGACTTTGAATTATTTTTGAAAACTTTGAATAAATTCAATTCAAGTCCAAAAACATTTTGCATTAATTTCTTATATTGAAATATAGTTCAACAATCTCACCCTTTTTGATATAACAAAACATTTGAAAATTTATTTTTGGCAAAACTCCCCCTTAATAAAATATTTAATGAAAAAAAAATATCAATTGTTGGAAAATGTTCAGCTCCCCGTTTTCATTGAGAAATTGAATTTTTCAAACAATACTTCTCCCCATTTTTGTTATATCAAAAATAATTCAACTTTAAAGTTCAAAAATAACAATAAAGAGTAAGTGGTAAATTTTATCATAATTGTTTTAAAAAAAATCAAAAGCTCCCCCTTAATAAAAGCATTCCAAAAAAAATTTTGACTTTAAAGAGCAAGACACTAAAGGAAATTGAATTTCAACAAAGATGAATAAACATGTTAGTAACACATGAAATTAATATATCAAAGTCTAAAATACTTTCTACAATACCAATTGTTGAAATTAAGTGCATATGCATAAAGTTATCCAAAAATGTTATGCATTTAAAAAAATTGATATTAATTGTTAGAGAGATATCATTTGCATTTTAAACCACATGCACAAACATTTAAATTTAGGTCAAAAATTAAAATTTTTAAAATTAAAGCATTTGAAAAATTGATATCAATTGTTAGAGATATATTATTTGCATTTAAAACCAATTTTGACCAAAATTCATTATGATGAACTAAAAAATTATGAAAAATCATTGAAGCTTTAAAATGTTCATCATAACAACTTTTTAACATACATGAGATAGAAAACATAAACTCATTTAAAATCATAACTCATGCATGCTTAAATCAAATGAGCAACCAAATAATCAAAAAACAAAAGCATTAAACTTAGAGGTTACCCATTCCTTTTCAAGTGTGGCTTGAGCATTTGAGTATCATCACTTTCATCACCATTTCTCTCACACACCTACAAGAGACATTTAAGTAGATTTTAGTATCCAAATTGGTTGGGATTCTTGAACATTAGTTTCAATGTCCCATACTTGTCTAATTTAAAAAAAAATTCTTTATGGGACAAGTATGTTCCAAATGACCATGAAAATGGCAATGTTTGCAACTAGAAATCCTGCAACGAGAAAGAATGCAACTAGAATGCAAATCATAATTTTTCAAATACTGTGAAAACACAGATAAGAAGTGGCTTCGCTTCATCTCTTCCTTATTTTGCTGCCTAGTTTCAAGCTTCTTAGATCTACCTCGCTTCATTCCCTGTTGGAATGGTGACTGGGAAGGGAAGCACAGCAATAACGCCTTTTTCCTTTTTTCTCCCGATTAGACGAAAGACGTGTTGGGGCTGTATCCGAAACATTTTTGAACTGCCGGCCCGACAACCAAGCCTATAACCGGCAATAAGAGGTCAAGTTGAGACATACAAAGGCGCCAGTGAAGAGCTTAAAATCAGTGCATTTTGACATTTTTAAAGATAATGAGTTGTTTTTAGAAAATAATTCTTTTTCTTTTGTTAAGCTTTCAAACTTAACTTTCAAATCAAAATTTTCTTTTTCTAAATCTTTGATTTTGACTTTTGAAAGCTTTAAATCATTTTCAAAGTTTCATTTGTTTTTCAAAATCAAATTTCTCTTTCAAAACCAAATCATTTACAACTTTAAGTTTCGAAATTAATTTCTTATATTTGGAATTCATGGTCTTAAATTCCAAATACAACTCATTATAAGCAACTTGTAACTCGTCAAAATAATAAGAATATAATTGACTAGAGTTAAAGTTACCATTGAATCTTCATTGATGGCTATAAGGCATAAGTTGGCTACTTCATCATTGGAGTCATCTTCATCACTCCAAACTACCATAAATGTCTTCTTTTTAGTTGATCCATTCTTCTTTAGGAGGGGACAATCATACTTGACATGTTCCGTTCTTTGACATTCGAAGCAGACAGGGGGACTCTTCTTTTTGCTCGATTCATGCTTCACTTCCTTAGAAGTCATGAATCTCTTGAATCTTTTGAAGAGCTTGGACATCTCTTCTTCTTCATCATCGTATTCATCCACCTCTTCATTTGAATATTAATTACTCTAATTGGTGGATTTGAAGGCAATGCCTACCTTATTCTTTTTCTTGTATTGCTTCTCTTTATCTTCTTCCTCTTCCTTCACCATCAACTCATGAGTGAGAAGAGAGCCAATAAGATCATCAAGAGTGAGAGACTTTAGATTCTTGGCCTTAATTATTGCCGTCTTCTTCGATTGCCAAGACTTTGGAAGAGAGTGGATAATCTTCCTCACAAACTTCTCATTAGGGATTACTTCTCCAAATCCCTTGAAACCATTGACAATTACAGAAAATCTATCCATCATAGCTTTGATGTCTTCATCAGATTTTATCTTGAAATTTTCATAACTATGGTTGAGAAGACTTATCTTGGTTTCCCTCACTTCATCAGTTCCTTCATTCGGGCCTAATGCACAAAATAGAATGTGCATTGCCTTAGCATTGAGTTGGAACTTCTTCTTCTCTCCATCACTCTAATCATACATCTCACCAGGTGGAATGAAGTATCCCTTCATGATTGAGTTATAAGCTCCTAGATCATTGGCTTGAATGAAGAGCATCATCTTATTCTTCCAATAGGTATAATTTGCTCCATTGAAGTAAGGTGGCTTGTTGACTGGTTAAGAGTCTTCAATGTAGTAAGAGTCGGAGGTCGAAGCCATCTTCTTGTCAGTTGCGTTGGAAATTGGTAGAGCTTATTCTAGGATCGTCTCAAGGTTGTTAGACCTTATAATGAGTCAAGATCTGATACCAATTATTAGGATTGATGAAGCTCAATTTGAACAACCGAAAAATGTACAAGGGGATAAATTGGAAAATATTGTTTAGGGAGTAAGGAGAAAGAAAAGATAGAAAAATCTTGTTGCCATATTTGATTATGGGATTTTCCTTGTGGGTCAGCAAGGAATATTTTGAATCTAACCGGCGCGTGGAACTGTTCTCGTCTTTCTTGTCGACCACACACCATTTTTTGATCGGTCGATGACCTTTGATGCCTCTGACTTGTGGACCGTTAGATCCAAATCTTGATCTAACAGTTGATACGAGTGTGGCGCTTGTGCTATAATATTTAGGGCTTCTAACCCTAAATTTCTTTTATCTCAATCATCGGTCGTTCCTTGATCATGTGGCCCTTATTTGTATGACGCCTAGCTTGGTATAGAAACCCTAATCTACTGGGTCAGGCATATTTGGGTTTCATCCTTGTTAGGCTTGAGTTGTTGCTTTGGACCTTTTCTTTTCAAGAACCAGACTCGAAAATTAGACTCCGCATCCTTTGGACTTTAGGATCTAAAAACATAATAAAGTAAAGTAAGTAAAAATAATATATATATATATATATATATATATATATATATAATTTTCCAAAAAAACTATATATATTTTATAACATAAACTATAAATATATATATGTTTTTGAACCTATATGTATATAATATGTATATACTATATATATTTTCTAAAAATCATATATTTTAAATATAATATATTGAAACCATATTTAGAAAAATATATTATATATATATATATATATATATATATATATATATATATATATATATATATTATATATATATATATATATATATATATATATATATATATATATATATATATATATATTCATACGAATAAAATATATATAAAGTTCCTGAAGAAAATGAATGTTTACAATAACTTTGCAGCTGAAATCCCTGGGGAAAGATAGTCACAATCATATGATGATCAGGGTCGACGTTACAACCATATAACAATCAACCTTGTCGAATGTATAAACTTAGTTTTTAAAGAGACCTGATATCTTCCGATAATTAATATTGCTAGGGAGACTTACTTCAAATTGGGTAAATTTTGGGTAGAAAAAAGTGCACTAATAGATTATATGATCAAGGAAGGGAGAAATTGAGCTCCATATTTGGAGAAGAAAATGCAAAAAAAATGAAACACATGCAATATCAATGTTTGTTCATGATTTTGTCAGACTTGATTTTGATTACGTTGTCCAATCACTTGTTCAACCACATAAGTGAGGCAATTCTACCACATACACTAGTGAGTCTTCATATTTGTATTTTGTCTTTTTTTCTTCTCAAATTTCATACTATTGTTTTTATTTTTATCATCACTCTCTACAAGTCGTTTGCTACATCGGATTAGTAAGTCTTCATACTTGTTCTTCTTATCGATTTTCATCATCTTCCTTAAACTTTCTTTCTCTCCTTGTATACCTCAACTATTGACATTATAGTCTACTTCACCCATTCCTCATTTGAAGATGAGCTTGAATCCAAATCATTGTAGTCGAAGTCGTAAAACTCATAAACACCGTTCACCAAATCATACCCAAATTATTCCCACTGATTTATGATTTGATTCTAATAATTTCTATCACTTTTAATATAAACACCATCAGCTCACCCCTAACTATACAAAAAAATCCAATCTGACCATTGGAACTCGTCACTCTCACATGATAAGTTTCAATAGAATTAAAAAAAATATTTGTTTGTTGCCCAACGTTCAGGTAACGACTATGAATTTCAAATCTAAAAATAACTCGTCACCCCACATGACGAATTTCATGAATTTTAAAAAAAATAAAATATATGATTTTAATTAATTTAAAAAAATTAACATATTTTAATAGAACTCGTTGTGTGATCGTGACAAATTCTAAAAAAATTAATAAACAATTTGATCCCATGAGACCCATAAACCTGTATCTATTAATTAATAATATTTGGATAAATTTATCACGTGGGGTGATGAATTCACCTATACTGTAGCAAATATAATAGAATACAAAATAATATTGAGATTGAATTCCTGAGTCAATTAATCCGCGGTCCAATTTTGCCGCTGTTTTCCTCATATAGTTTATTGGCATTTTAAGAAAGAAATCCAAAAAGAATACTAATAATATTAACTAAATAGGCCGACGTTCGGCCTGTTAAAATAACTGTTCACTCTGGTTGGGCTACAGTTCAGCACACTGAGTCCAAACAAAACTTATCTGAAAATCGGGGTAATAACGAACCGCGATAAACCACATAATAAAAGGAAAATGTTTAAAAATTGGAGATTGCACGAGTATCAGTTTCGGGACGAAGAAGTTACTGCAATTCCAGCGAAAGGATTTTACGATGAGCTTATGTTTTTGTTCTCTTATTTCTCCTTCACCCTTAGTTTACGAGGCCAATTTTCCATGGAATTTGAATCTTAACCGCTCTAGTGGCCTTCCTCATAACAATAACAGGGGTATTGTTGCGAGGGTTACCCAACGAGGATACGAAGTGGGTAGTGTTTCGTTCCAAAGTCCGATAATTGAGGCCGAGGAAAAAGAGGAAGTAGTTGATAAAAACGTCAATGGAGTCGTCGTCACTGAACCGGTGGAAGATACTCCGAAACCGGTAAGATTTAGGAAGAAGAGAGATGAAGATGATGACAGTGATGATGAAAGCTTTGAGGATAGGTTCAAGTTACGTAACGGCAAGGAGGTAAAATATTTGGATTTTATCAGTTCAAATTTTGAATTATTAATCAATTTATTTTTTTTTGATTTCTTTGAAGGTTTTTGAAGAAAAAGCTTATTTAGTGGGCGTGGAACGAAAAGGCGAGATATCGGATTCTTTTGCTATTGAGGAGTCCCTTAAAGAGCTGGCTCAGTTGGCCGACACTGCTGGGCTTATGGTCGTTGGTTCTACTTATCAAAAGTAGGAGTTTTATCTATTAATTCGAATTGCATTTTCATACTCTAAGCTGAAACTGTCTGACTGTATTTTTTTGCCTTTGAAGGTTAGCTTCTCCGAACCCGAGGACATACATAGGATCGGGAAAGGTTGCAGAAATTAAGAGCGCAATCCGTGCTTTTGAGGTCGAGACTGTAATATTTGATGATGAGCTCTCACCGGGGTAAGGTTTGTAATAATTTTCTTAGTTTCAACCTTTAATAAGAATCTATCTTAGCTTAGAGTGTTTTTAATGAAGCATCATTTGGGATGTCAATTGTTTGGACCTTATAAAGTTGACACGAAACCATCATTATTTTACATTTGTTCTCATCTGGGTCTATAATTGAATCTCAGACAATTGCGCAATTTGGAGAAGGCCTTTGGTGGGGATGTTAGAGTTTGTGATCGGAATGCTCTAATCCTGGATATCTTCAATCAGCGAGATGCAACACATGAAGCTGCTTTACAGGCAAGTTCTTATTGTTTAATAAAAACTGGGAGGTTATGGACAATTGGACATAACTGATATTAGATTGAAGTTGGTAAAATCTTTCTGTAATGAAGATGGGCAAAAGAAGAATAATGTATACATCTGTTACTCAAATTATGGGTCCTTTTCTAGGTTGCACTGGCCCAAATGGAATACCAATTGCCACGTCTTACTAAAATGTGGACACACCTTGAGCGTCAAGCTGGAGGCAAGGTGAAGGGTATGGGTGAGAAACAAATTGAAGTGGACAAACGTATCTTACGTACACAAGTGAGCAACAATTTCTGTTTCCCAGTATTTTGTAGACAAAGATCTGCTATAGAAACTGAAAATTGGGCAGATAATAGGATTTATTATTGTTGCAGTTTGTTTCCTTTCTCTACTTTTTAAACACTGAACATGTTCCCATGCATTAACTTATGTGCTTTGCTAGATTGGAGTTCTTAAAAAAGAGCTTGAATCTGTCAGGAAACATCGAAAGCAATATAGAAACCACCAGTTTTCTGTTCCTGTTCCTGTTCCTGTAGTATCATTGGTAAGCACTTAGCCTGATTTTCTTTTTAAAAATACAAGGACG